AAGCCTGAGTGGCAGTGCTCCCTAAGGGACACTACTTGGTTTTCTCCCCCACCCCCATCACCCCACTGGCACCTCTGGAGCAGTTCCTGCCTGCAGAAATCTGCCTGGCCTATGGCAGCTCTGAGTACCTGTCCTGCTACTTGTTGGCAGTTCTGTCTGTCCATCTTTACGCCTGTCTGAGAACACTGAGATTGCTGTTGGCACCCATGCAGACCAAAGTTCTTTCCCATGCAAGCAGGAAGGTGGGAATCCCAATGTGCAGTTCTCCAGTGCTGTTTCTCCTCAACCAGGGCCATTGCATGGAGAACCACCGCTCACTGCTCCTCCAAGCTTTGTGTCAGGGCTTTAAGCCCACACCATCATGCTACACAAGAACAAGGGCTTGATCACTATTAGAATCAACAAGGAGAACTGCAGTTTGCAGGGCAGGGATGGAACAAAGCGAGATTTCTGCCACGTGAAGGTCTGCTGATGCACAGTGGTCCACAACCCAGCAGGGTGGTCCTGTGTGTAGACACACACAGAGTTGCCAGGAACCAAATCTGCATTATGGAAAGGGAAGGGCAGATCATGGCACAGAGCAGCTGACAAAGCCCCAGGCACCCCAAGAGGACCAGAAGCTCCCTCCCTGTCATTTCACTAGTGAGAACAGGGTAACAGGAGCAACAGAGGACCCTGCTCCTTTGAGATACAGCATTCCCCCAACCCTCTCTGCACTGAGGGCCAACACCACCACCACCTGCTTGGCCTGGTAGGGCTCAGCAGAGCTGCCAGCCCTCGGCACAGAGGTGAGATAAGCAAGCTACCAGGGAGGGGTTTTGGGACATAACTACGTGGGAATCAGTGACAGGGAAGGCACAGAAATCAGATACACACAGCTCCAGATGAGGAAGTTCGACAGTGTTTTCTTGCTGCTCACCTTTGTGCCCTAGCACAGCATGTTCCCTTCCCCGACTCCCGCTCTATGAAACAGGAACAGCACAGCCCTTGGTTTTCTCCCCCAACCCAGCTGCTCTGCATCACTTCCACGCAGCATTACCTGAACATACAGATTGTGATCACTGACCCCCCGGGTCTCTCACGGCTGCTGCAGGCTGTCACAGCATGGAGCTGAGCTGCAGGCAGTGCAGCACGCGAGGAACCTTCCCTCTGGTTTCTGAGAAGTGGTTACAGCACACGTGCACCAAGCACTTTTCAAAGTCAAACAGATCTGTTCATTTTTATTTTCAAAATACCAAAGCAGTAAAATCATGTATTGAGTAATCACTTGCCAAATTTCCTTTTTATTTTCTTTTTTTTTTTTCTTTCTTTCTTTTTTTTTTTTTTTTTAAATCTAATCTATTTTGAGTTACATTAGAGCCAAAATGCAAATTAAACTGGTAAGGTTCCAAGTATTTTTTTTTTTTTTTCCCCCTTTAGAAAACACAATTTAAGGTACTCATAAGTAAGAAAATTTTAAAAACCATTTGTTTTGGAAAGCAAGTTCCAGCCTGAAGTAAATTTTCATAGGTAATAGGTTAAATAGAAGTCTTATGTAAATGGTGATCTCTGCCTAACAGCTCCCCTTTAAATATCTGATTTGGAAATAACTCTACCGCTTTAAAAGAGGCTCACATGGTCAGAAATGAGGCAAAAAAGTATGAACTCTAGCACTGCATGCGTACATTCCTTCCGCCCTAGCTGCTGTGTTAAAGAAAAGATTCCTGGGATAGCTCGTTTACAGTCTCCCTCAATCTGTTTGCTGTTGTTGCAGCATTAAAGCCAGACTGACCAAGCTGCCCAGGCACACTACTTGGCTACAAGATGAGAAGGATCCTCTCTGTTCTATCCCAGCCACATGAAGACCTGCCTCTCAGCAGGTGGAAGTACTCACTACTTCATGAGTACCCACTGCAGGCAACTGCAGCTCAGTGGGCTGCTGATATTCAGACAGCATCTCCCTGCACGCAGGCAGACCTTGAGAAGGGCAGTGCCACCTTCTTGGTCGCCTTCTACCACAATGCTGCCATCTGTTGAAAGAAGTGGCAGCCACTCAAGTTATCACAGAATCATAGAATGGCTTGGGTTGGAAGGAACCACAAGGATCATCAGGCTCCAGCCCCTCTGCCGCATGCAGGGCTGCCAACCTCCTCATTTAATACTAGACCAGGCTGCCCAACGCCCCATCCAACCTGGCCTTGAACACCCTCAGGGATGGGGCATCCACAGCCTCCCTGGGCAGCCTGTTCCAGCACCTCATCACTGTCTTGGTAAAGTTATGGCTGTCTCCATCTTGCTTCTCTCATAACTGCTCCACCCAAAACTGTACCCTATTCTTAAAAAAGGGCCTTGAAGAAAAGAGGCCAGTTCACAGCATGCAGAACTGTGTACAGAAGATACGGGAGATGGGAGCCACTAGGCTACACTTTGCAGAAGACCAACTGACCTCACAGCTGCCTTTCCAAAGGGAATCTTGTCCCCCTTCATCTTGCCTGTCCTACCTCTGCATCCCCTGCATCACTGGCGTTCACCAAACGCTGGTGAGCTGGTTGAGTGAGCTGAAACCACACAGAACTAATCTGATCTGTTGCTGCTGCTGAAGACTGAGTTTTCTACCAGTGTAACTCCTTGGCTTCATCTTACTCAAACTGCTAGGTGACAGCTACCACCACTTCAAGGGAAGCAACAGCAAACCAAGGGGACGCTCATTTTTGGCAGCCAAGAGCCCAAATGAGCTGCAATGTCAAACCACACCCTCAGGTCTCTGATGGCTAGAGAGACTAAAGTCATGGTGGAGAGGGCAAGGGAGAGACAGGAAAAGCGTGAAATCAAAACAGACCAAGGATAAAGAGCATACGCATACTAGATGCAAAGTAGGGGCTGGACTGTGACTGTTGATCGTGGGAACAGATGGAGAGATAGAAAGAGAAGTGACACCCATTGCACTCAAGATCCTGCGTGAGAGAGGGGAAAGGGGAGGGAAGAGAGCGCAGTGGGAGAGGTAGAACTCTGTAAGACAGGAAATATTTTTCTAGAAAAGGATTTAAGAAAAATGAGAATTGGAACTTACTGTTGACTAGAAAACCAGTCTAGTTGCCATTCACTGTGGTTAACAATCGTTTGAAAAACAGCTTGACACCTTCTCTCTTTTGACATTTGAGAATTGCCCACCCCTTGTATGTTGCAGTCATGCAAAAGAAGTGTTAAAAGTATAACATAATATCAATTTCAGCCAGCCCAATCATCATGAATGTCTAAAATGTACCAGGCAGAGGCATGACACCACACAGAACAAAGTAGAACAGAGATATTTCCAGTTCTGTAGAGGACCCAGATGCAAACAAAAAGATTTTGCTACTTCTGTGGCTCTCCACTGGCATAGGAACCAGAAAAGAATATTCATTAGATCTGACTATAAGTGTTTGCCTTGTGTGGGAGGTCTTAGTACAGTAATATGTATTAGAAACTTGATATTTTTCCAATCAAGCCTTTCCACTTCCATTTACATGCATTTAATTGTAAATATTCATTTTTCCTACCTGAAGCACTTTAAATAAAAGTACAATCAACATACCCTACAGAGAATGGGAGCGAATAGCTTAGAGGACTTGTGTGAGCTGGAGCATTGTTCCAACCTCTACATCATCAGTTCCAATCCAGCTGGGGTTGGGAGCTATGCAACACTATCAACTGCTCACAGTGTGTGGGGGGTCTCGTGGGCTGATATTGGTGATCTCACTCCTGCTCCTCCTGAACAACCATCCTGCCCCAACCAATAAATTGTAATTGACACTAACTGGCATCTGTTCCAGGAGAAAAGGAGATGACTGGCAAGGAGGAGTCCTCTCACGCACGTTAGTGAATTTCTTCAGAGCACAACTTCAGCCTGCAATCGCATCAATGTGCACTCATTTTTTCCATTCACTGAGACTTGCAAACAATGGAATTAGTATACTCTTTCTCTGCAACTTTATTTTAAACAGAACCATGTAACGCACAAAACCTTACAAGTACGAAGTTGCCATTCAACCTCGACTAAATGGCGCCGTTCAGCATGGCCAGCAGCTGGTAGTGCTGCCTTCACACGGAGCGTGTTTCTCTCTGCGAGGTGGCAGGCAGGCTGCAACCCGGCTACAGCCCTCCTGCTGAGAGCTCCTTGGGTGGGCAGCTGCTTTCAGCTGGCACAAACCCTACCCTTGACACACTGGGACTACAGGCGTGCTAAAGGAGTGCTTTTGTCCACTGCCGTCAGTTGGCACGTAGCTGAGGTGGGGGCATGAGTTGCTCAGATCTACGCCAGAACTGCAGTTTT